TCGCACTTCTTGCATGTAGAACTCTTTGTATTTCTTGCTTCGATGCCACTTGCAATCTTTAAAAATTTAATTGCAATGCCAATTGTTGTATTCTATCGTCTGGTTTTCATTTTCTTTTATTCTCAGTAAGTCTTTGTGTCTTAGTGGAATTATCACCTTGCTTGGGATGAAATAATTAAAAAAAAAAAAAAGGTAATATGATTAGAGTGGTGAAGGCTTATTTTGAACCAGCCACACTTTTTAGAAGAACAGAAAACAGAGAAATGGCTCACAGTGTCTCTCAAAATCTCTGAATAGTCCTCTTTATGTTTTCAACCTCATCAGAATATGATTTAATTTGTTTGTTTAACGACACGTCAACTCTTTCTGGGTTATTTAACACTGAAATTTAATTTGTTTTTGATTTTTGAAGTAATAAAAACTTCCCCACATATCCACATAAACTGTGCCTCTTAATCTCTAGCTCTCTATCTCGTTTAGCTCCAGGGCCTTGTAAAGGGGGACATCACTGTAAAGAAAAAAAATACCCACTAAAAATAACATTTATACTAATAAAGTAATATTGTTGTATAAAAATATCCATTAAAAAATTCCTGTTGTTTTCATTTCGGATACAAAACTGAAGCTAGCAGATACAGATTTGTACATTCCTTAAATATGTAATTGTAACCTTTCTCTATCAATGCATTCTCCATAACAAAATTGCTAAAAGCACATTTCGGTTATAGAAATGGTTTCGCTGATGGAAAATAGAATACAGTTTCAATTCCTATCAGAGGCACAATCTTTATTTGGTAGAACTTCTCAATTGAGGCCAGTTGTTATTAATTTAACTGTTTAAGAAAATAAAAACCAAAAAACAGAGCCAGCAACTCAAATACATGTACCCACTAAAAATATAGTCATAAAGAAATAGATTGGTTTGGTTTGTTTTACAGCATATCAACCTCAATGGATTATTTAATGCTGGCAAGATTTTTATTACTGGTAATATTTTTTTTTGAAAAATGTATTGCTGGTAATAATTTTTCCTTCAAAAACCTATTCCTAGTGTTAAAACCTATTTTTACACTTTCATAGTGTTTTAACCCCAGTTTGGAGGTTAACTATTTGCTCATAGCTGGGACCCTAACAGGTGCTACCACCTTGGGTCAGGGTGGACATGGGAACACCAGCAATTAAGAGGTGGTTCCACACTCCTCAAAGTCTCCTGATCTGAGGCTTTGCAGTTGGATGTTGTTTATCGTCATACCCAGGACGAAAGAAATAGATGGAGTGTGATAGATATGAACAGACTGTGATACACAGATAGAAACAGACTCAGATCAATAGAAAGATAGATATATATATATAATTCTATGAATATCAATATATTTGAAGATGAAGAGCATTAAAAGCAAGATATGTTGATCAGTCCTGCAAACTGCAAGTTGATTTGGGGAATGCAGTAAATGATATAATTACATAATTCCCACTAGCACCCAACAAAGACCCACAATTTTGAATCATCTTCCTCATGCTGTGTCCCTTCAGGATATTGGCAATCATGGCTTTCCACAATTTCCTATCCTTTCTAATTTGTAATATATTTTATCTTTTTGTTATCTCTCCTAAACTTGCTTTCATCCATTTACTGAAGATCGCTTGGTAAGTTATGCATTGCTTTCCTCTGTCTCTCTAGCTGTGAGTATCAAATTTTTAAACCTTCTTTCCTCACTATGTTTCCTAGACATTTCAACTCTCTCTTTCTGATGCTAAGAATAAATAGCATCCTGGGTAAGATGATAAACTACATCCAGCAGCAAGGCCTCTGATCAGGAGGTTTTGAGGAGCATGGAACAACCTCTTAATTGTTGGTGTTCCCAGGTCCACCCTGACCCAGGGTGGTCCCAACTATGGGCAAATAGTTAACCCCCAAACTGGGGAAAAACACTATGAAAGTGTAAAAATAGATTTTAATACCAGTAATAAATTTTTGAAGTAAAAACTATTACCAGAAATATATTATTAGCAGCAATACATTTTTGAAAGAAAAATATTACCAGCAATAAAAATCTTGTCGGCATTAAATAACCCATTGAAGTTGATAATTTTTTTTTAAGCATTTCATCCCAAGCAAGGTGGGAAGCCACTAGCATGCAAGGGGTTACAGAGAGTTGGAACGAGAGCAAAGAGAAGCAATAGAAGAAAGGATGCAGAGAAGGATAGAGGATAGATCAAGCCATCTGGAGATGTTGATTGACATTACATTTGAATAGTTGGAGATTATAGCTATCAGGGAAACAAGAAAAAGGGGGGGAGTTCCACAGATGAGAGGTGCAAGACATGAAGCTATTGGAGTAGAAGAGACGGCTACATTTAACAGTTTTAACAGTGAAAGGGTGATAGCAAGATGCCAGCCTAGTTGAACACTTAAATTCATGAAGTCTGGGAACCAGCGAAAGCAGCTCATCGTAGCAGTTAACATGAAAGTATTTGTAAAAAAGAGGGAAGTGACAGCACATCTGTGAGAGAGCGACTGCAGATGAGATATCAGATCAGGGCCAATTACATTGCATATCTCTCTCTGGATTTTATCAAGGACCTTGAGACAAACAGAAGGGGCTCCAGACCATATATGGCAGCAATACTTCATGCAAGGGTGAATGGTTGATTTGTAGATCTGAAGGATCGACTCTGGCGAGAAAAATTTCCTGGCACGGCACAGGGAACCAATTTTCCTTGTAGTGGCATCTCAGGTCAGTGGACAATGTGAGAACTTTGATGCTGTAAAACTAATTAAACCAAACTAAGAGTAAATGTCCTTTTTGTTTCCATTTTGTTGTTGTTCATATGTTTGGTCAGTGATGTAAAGAGGTTTGATGATGTTTGGTGATGTCCAGGGTCAATTCCTTGATTGTATCCTCCCTAAGACTCAAGTAGTGGGGGGCTATAGAGCCTAGTAATAAGAAATGTGAGAAAGGAAGACATTTTAAATATGTAAAAGCAGATAAAACGAAATAAATACTCTATTCAAATTAAATATAAACTAAATTTTTATTTTGTTCTTTGATTGGATGTCCTCTGATATGGAGGCCCAGATCTGTTACACCTTCTACCCCCTACTTCTGCATGCTACCATGTTTGATCCATGTTATTCTCGGTATTTCTGTTGCTTCAAGTCTCTCCTTTATTATGTGAGGAGACTGTCTAGTTTTCATTGTCATATTGGTTTAAAATGTATGCAGACACTTCGCCCACTTAGTGCCAACAAAACAATCTTCCCTCAGTTCTAAAATAATTCCTGTAATGTTTTATAGATGAGAGACTGAACAGAAATACTGAAACATGCAGAGTCTTGTCCTCTTGTTGAAATCTTTGTCTGTTTATCTTTTGTCAATTATGTTTCAATACCTTACATTAATAGATTAATGTACATTCCACCCCTATAAAAAATATCAATTATTGGGTCATACAGAAAACAGATTATTTGTGACATATGGATTCACTTCATGGACATCACCTGTGTGAATAATTATTTTATTAGAAAACTGTAGGATAATTATTTTATTTATTTATTAAAACTGTAGGATAATTATTTTATAAAATTAATTATTTTATTAAAACTGTAGGATAATTATTTTATAAAATTAATTATTTTATTAAACCTGCAGAATAATTATTTTATAAAATTAATTATTTTATTAAAACTGTAGGATAATTATTTTATAAAATTAATTATTTTATTAAACCTGCAGAATAATTATTTTATAAAATTAATTATTTTATTAAAACTGTAGGATAATTATTTTATAAAATTATTTTGTTAAAACTGTAGGATAAATATTTTATTTATTTATTACAAAACTGTATTATTTTATTAGAAACTTTATTATTATATTATTATTTTATCAGAAACTTTATTATTATATTTTATTAGAAACTTTGGGAATAAAATGAACTGACTGTCCCATGCGTTTCTAATTCTCCAAGCCCTTCTTCCTCATAATGTTCAAGAAATTTCACCTCTCTCTCTTTCTGACTCTGAGTATAAGTGTCCTTTTTGTTTTGATCATCTTTGAAACTTCTTTATTGCTTATATGTTCCATCCATAGTATTCTCAGCATCCTTCTGCAGAACCACATTTCTATTGCCTCTAGTTTTCTCTTCATCTGTTATAAGATTGTCCATCATTCACTTCCATAGAAGAGGACGGATACTATAAACAGTAGTAGAGAAGAATACTAAGAATAACATGGATTGAACATGTGAGTAAAGAGGAAGTTTTAGGGAAAATGGAAATAAGGAAGACACATACTTAAAATCAGAAAAAGACTGTTGAAATTTCTAGGGCACATAATCAGGAAAGAGGGCTTGGAGAATTTGACACTCACAGGATATATTGAAGGCAAGAAGGGCACAGGAAAGCAGTAAATAACTTACCTAATGGTTGATTACTTTTTACAGCTTATCAACATTTTGCAGGTTACTTGAAACCAGAAAATATCCACTGTGCCATGTGTTCTTGAGTGGATAAATGCGTTGTTTAGATCCAGTGACAAAACCCAAAGAGTGTGAGTTCAATACCCAGTTAAGGCAGTAGAGAACTTGGAGAGGGAAATTAACAGGAGATAACTGACACCCATTAATCATGGTATGTGGAACTAGAACAGTCTACCCCAGTGAGCACAGTAAAGGATTCACTTCGACATTCCAATTACCTGAAGAAGGCCAAAGCATACAATGGCTGAAATGTAAAATAAATATGGCGACAAAGTTGAGTACAATAGTCCGAATAATGTAAATTTTTAGATTATGCAAATGTTTTGTCAATAATAATTTTCTCATACAAGTTCTACTAATTAATCCATAGCTGGGGGACAGAAGAGGTAGATTCCTACTTTTCTAAAGGGTATTTGAGTGTAAGTGAATATAATGAACCTGACTAAATTTGGAATTCAGCTCTGATTTCCAATTTCATTATCATTGTCATTCTCCATTGCACCAATGACATATCCAAGCTTACAACACATGGTATTCCCAAGGGATCACCAATCTAGGTACTGACCAGGCTCAATATTGCTTAACTTCCGTGAACATACAACAACCAGTGTTTCAATGTGATATGACCGTAAGCCCTTACCTAACAAGCTTGTGTAAATGGCTGGCATAACAGGGATTAGGAGAGATAGCAAAAAGACAAAACTTACTAAAAGTTACAAAGTACAGGAAGTTGTGGTGAGCCATGATTGCTCACACCCTGAAGGGATATGGCATATAGAAGACCTGGCAAGCACAACTAATTTCAAAGTACATCAATACCATTATCAGCGGAACATAACCACAACATCATACTACTCCTATCATTATATACAGAGGAAATGGTTTACTTTGGCTTACCAGTTTTCTCAGCTTCTTAAAATAAATATTCTAGACATTGTATGTAAACAGATCAAATTTAGTTTTTGCCTGATCATGGCACACATTTCCCAAAATCTTTGGTCATTGACAAAGTTATCATTTACAGACTTTAAACAAACCTAACACGTACATAGCTCACAGCTTTTTAAAGTCATTTCTGTGTAACTGTCCTATTTGGCAATAAATACTGAACAATTTAGTTAGAGAAAGACTTGAAATGTCAGAAATGTGATTCTCCTAAGGAATACTGACAATGAAATAGACAGTGCATGTGACAAATGGGGAAGTTTTAATAGAGAATACTAATGACAATGAAATTGTTGCTGACAGTCAGAAAAAGCATAAAATTTGGGGGTATATAATGAGGAAAGAAGGCTTAGAGAATGTTTACAGGGTAAACTAAACGTAAGAGAAACAGAGAAAAGCAGTAAATAATCTTGAAAAACTTGAGAGTAACTAAATGATGAAAGAACATTATTGAGAACAATAAAAGACAGGAAGCTGTGGAGGGCCATGATCTCCCACATTCTGAAGGAAAACATCTTTTAGCTGTAGACAAATATGATTCAAGGTAGTCTTTGAGAACACACTTGCACTCATTGCCAGCAGAGACAAAAAGATGTCAGTTGCAATCAAACATGTTTTTCTGGTACAGCCAGAATAAGTGATTCCTGCGGGATATAGCGGCCGAGTATGCAGGTGAAAAAAAAAAAAGAAGATGAAAGTAATCTTGCTTGGTATTTCCACACTTGAATGAAAGCATCAAGGTCAGTTTTCACCCTAGAGGAGAGCTTAGAGGCACATTTTTGAACAGGACAATTAAAGACTTCATTCATGAAGGAAGTCACGGAATGAGTCCCAATCAGCTCGTTGATAACAGAAATATCATGATCAGATTTTCCAAAATGGCAGAGCTGCAGCATATGACATGAGTCAGGGATAGAGGTAAAGAAGAGATTGAGAAGAGAAACATGCTTGAATGAAAATATATTTGTTTTTCCTTTTTCTAGCACACATACAGTGACATATTTCTAATATTACATAGTTTGTGTTCCCTAATGTCTTTTAAGAGAGACTTTATGTGAAAGGATCACAAATTTCAACTAACAGTCATCCTGGCTATTCAATGAATGCCAAATATTTCCTGATAAGTAAATGGCTAATGTCACCATTCTGGAGATTTTTGTTTTAGGAAAATCTATGACAAAGTGGAAAACGAATTTGTGCAACATGTTTCGTTCCTCAAGGATTTCATTGGACTAAAGTAATGTTTACTTTGATGCAGATGTACATGGACTTAAAGGTGAAGAGATTCTGAAATTTTAAATTTAATCATTTTTTTTTTAATATGTCTTTTGGATATATAGTCTAACCAATTTCATTTAGTTTCTTTTTGTCTATGCTTTTAGAATTTTTGTTGTTAAATATCCGACATTGTAACCGTAGAAAGGAAAATATAATAAGAACCTTAACATAAATTTACTGTGGAGGTTCTAGCAATTAAAGCACTTTCTATACTTTTTTTCGTCAAAGTATTATGAGATATTTGTCAAAGTACAGTCTGAATTGGGCCTTTCATCTCTGGACTTCACAGACAATCTGGGAATTTGTAGTCGCAGTCCATGCTTGGGTAACTTAATAACTTTAGTTCAGATATCCACATTATATTCTTTTGATTTTGCTGTGATAGTTTTTATACATATGCTTTCAATGAAACTTCAGCTATATGAAAAGAAGGACAAGTTGAATGTTTGAACAGAATTAAGGATATCATATACAGATGAGAAATACTAAAATATCTTGATACACACTTGCTAGTCATTCTTAAACCTCAAAAGAACACATTAATGGGAATTGTAGGAATTACTGCAGGATGGGATGGGATGGGGAAATCACTGATATTAGTACCATTGTAGCTATCTGTCAGCGCAAAGTAATTCTGATTATTAAAAAATCTTTCTAATGTAAAATATACTTTTATGAAACTTTGAGGAATATTAGCTGATTTAAAGTTTAATTAATCTGATTTAAAAAAATATTACTTTTAGTTTAAAATATTGCAGAAATGCATTTTTTAACATGGAGGTAGCTGTTTATTTA